CTATGCACCGAAAAATCTGTTTTTCTGCTTGCTGGCTGAATTGCTTGTTTTTGTGCAGAAACTCTAATTTCAATTGCAAAAGTTTTTTTAACTGTATTTGGTGTTCTATCTTTCTCTGTATTGTACAATCTTTAATGAAGATATTTTGAGTTTTTATGTATATGTTCCATGCTAAGAAGTAAGAATTATAGGACAAGTAGGCTATACAAGGAAGTCATATGGTGTTCACATCAGATTTTTTTTCAAAATGCAAGACACACACATACACAAAATATAACTTCTTCACAAAACATAGCTTATCTTAAGAAAGATGGAGAGTTACATAAAATCAAAGTGAAGTTCTTAACACTGCCTGTTATAAGAGGAAACCAATGCTTTCTGCCATTTTTAAGCTAAACCTACTGACTTATCATGACAAATCATGACAACTCACACCTTTTGCTAAATTTAACAGAACTGGGATTTAACTCTTATATAATGTTAATTTAACATTAATACAAATTTTTTATTAAGAACATGGCATGAATTTTTACAAAAACTAAATCTGCACCCTTTGTATTTTGAAAATGAGGTTATGATATCAAAGTATTGCTTGCTACACTCACTTTTATTTTTAAGCTTTGCCTACTAACAGACTTGCACCACATTGTGGGTACCACATTTTGAATATTTAACGAAATTTGATGGTGCATATTTATGTGACTTTTAAAAGATGTAAAAAATTAGTTTAATTCCTTTTGTTCATAAGTTTGCAAAGAACAGGAAGCATTTGCTCTTTTCTTGTATAGGTTCCACTTTTTTTGAGCGTGTTGTGACGTTACTCTTATCCATTATTAGTAATATATTACATTAGTTGGTGATTAGGAAATGTACAAGTATCTTTTACAATTAGTGGAATTTGAGAGGACACACTTGATAATAAACAGCAGACCTTTTCCCTTACAATGACAATACTCCAATTGTCAATCAACTAACAAACAGCGTAATCTCTAGTGTGGTTTTAAAACTAGAAAATATTGCTACTGATAGTGAAGGGAATTAAAGAACTTGTTGAAAATGAAAAGATTTTAATTAAAAGTTTACTGACAACTCTTGACATGGCAATTAAGAACTTGAAAGGAACTTTGCAACTGAACAAGAAATTATGTTTATTGCTAAAGTATTAGCATAAAAATCAAAAATCAATACAGCTAAAAAAATGCTTAGTGAAAAGAAGCGTTTAATAAAACAAACAAATAAATATTGAGCTTTTTTTTTTTTTTGTTGTAAATTTTGATTCTATGATAAAAAAATAGTTCGTTATGATAAACATGTACCATATTTACTTATATATTTTTCCTTTTGTATCCCCTCCCATTCTGATAGTTACCAGCAGTTTATTTATTTATAAATGCTTTTCTTTATTATGTACAATAAGGAAATAACAAATATAAGGTGTCTGCAAATAAATTACTAGTATCTATTAAGGCAAGGGAGGCTACTAGAGGGAAAATGTATCATATGTAAGATAAAAATATATGAATCAAAATTATAGATTAAACTATAAACATTAATTATTCCTCTCTATTCTAAAATCGTAATAACTTCTTTGCATTGCGTCATTACTAGATCACACTATGATCGGCGCAGCTCTGATGACGTAATCATTGGGAACAGAAACTGTCCTTGTAAACCAAAACTTTTCTCTTCGCGTGCTTCTATCGTTCATAACGACGCACTTCAGCTTTTGCCCTCTACTCTGCTAAGATGTAATTTCGCTGGCTTGCTTTCTATCTCAACAATATCAAAAATGTAAATCTTCTGTGGAAAGGCACGACTAGAGTGCCAAGTGATTGTGGCCACAAATATCGATTGGAAATAAAAATGGAATTAAAACTGCCTCGACTGCCAAGTTCTTTAGATATTACCAAGTTAGCATTACTAGCATACTACGCAATCAAAATTCTTCTTCAGTATGGATCTAGGCACGCATCGACACTGCTCCGGCTTTTCCTTGTTTTGCTCTTATTATTACATATATGTATTTCAAATTTTAGCACCAGAGTTGCTCTTAGTCTCTATCCTCACCTTTTTGTCCATATCACTTTTCAAATAAAATGATGTTGCCACCAAATGTTACTGCCATTCATTATTTCTAAAGAAATAGTATTGCGAATAAAAAAATCTGATGTGTACACCACACGACTTCCATATAGGGAATATTAAATTATGCGTGTTTTTTCTTGCATTTCATTTAAACTTATTGGACTGAATTAAATTTACTTCATCGATAACGCATAAACCACAGTAGAATAAATGCACTCTTTAAAGATTCACCACATTTGTTTACCACAGCGACACTCTGGCCCTAGGTTCACTTAACAGTGTTATATTTCATTCATTTTTAACTCAGAATGCACAAAATGTATACCATCTTAAGAATTATCGAATCGTTGCCACATATTCTATTCAAATAATAAATCTAAAACGATGTATAAAATAAATTAAGCAAACAACAACAACCAAAAAAAGTAAACAGTTTTTCACAGACGATTCAGTATTTCTCATTCCCTTAATTCAGTTTTCACTCTGCAACAATGCAAAAATACAAAAAAACTCAAAATATCTGTACAGAAATTATGAGGTAAATTGAAAACACTTATTTCCTAGAATAAATTCCAGAATGGATTAAGCATGATTTAATTCGAAATAATAAAAGAAGGCGTTATCTTTGTTATTGCGAAGCTTACTTTCTTTAGATTGGCAACAAATCTACTATTCTGCTGTTTCAAATGTAAACAAACATGGCCGCCATGGCAAAAATAATTAGACTTAGCGGCACTTAAACAACTTGTTTATTTTTTTTTATAAATTGTTGACAAATAAATTTGAATTGTTGATAAAAATATTGCATGCAGATTTACTAAAGGCACAAAAATTTTAACCAGAAGATAAGAACAACATAATTCAATCATTTTTAAAGCAAAAAATGCATATTTTGCAAACATTATAAGAATAAAGAAACTGAGCCGAGTAACAAAATGGATATATATATACATATATTTATATACTTTTGGTGTGGCCGATGTTTAATGATAGTTTTAAAAGATTTAAAAAAAAAAAAAAAAAAAAAAAAAAAAAAAAAAAAAAGGTGTCTTAGCAGGAACGAATCCAAGAGTAGAATGGTAAACTGCAAGCTCAGTGAAAGCATAAAAAACTTTAACAAACCTTCGGTGCAATGTTAAAATCTGAATCCATACAGACTCTTTTAAAAGCATTTTTAATTAATATGAATTATATAATGTATGTCATTTCTGTAAATTTAAAACAGAGATCTAAAATTCGGAAGTCCTGCCATTCCAGATCTCGGACCTTTTTACTACATTTGCTTTTGTGTTAAGGAGGAATTTGGGTAAAAACTTCTGCAGCTGCTGAAATTAAATTTTTCTGTTTGCTCCATTTGTATATTAATCTTCTATTCTTTAAACCAGCCTAAAATAAGAAGTTTTCTTTTTTATCTTGCTGATTTTTCTACAAGATCTAAATAAATTACATATCATACAAAATGCAATCCGTTTTAAGAATAACTCCAAAATTAAAAACAAATAAGAAAAAATGTAAAGAAAATAAATAATGCAAAAATTTCATTTGCTGCTAAGTAGAAGAAAAAAGCTTAGTTTTACAAAATTAGGATCTTACATTTGAACTTAAGGCTTTAAAAATGTCCCCCCCTTAAAAAATCATTTGTTAGTCATTCTCCCCCTCTTTTTTTTTAGAAAAAGCTATTTGCATCACATATGGTAGTTATATTTAAAATGAAATATAACGACATATCTATACTTCAGAATCACACCATTACTATAATTAATACACAGCACAACAATAATATGATTTGTAAATTATTGCTCAAACAATTTTTTTTTTTTTTTTTTTTTTGAGTCCCTGAAAGTAAAGTTTAATTTGTGATGTGGCTTCCAAACATTGATGCTTAAAAGATTAGCCACAGAAAATTATGAAGAAGTATAGCAAAGATGTTTTTGTGTAGAAAATGAAAATAAAAAGAATACAATCTGCAAGATATGAAAATTAAAATCAAATAAGTTTGCATGTGTGTGTATAACACATTAAGACAAAAATCTTAGGCTGTCTGCTCCTGATACTTTCAAGGATGACTTTCTAAAGGAAATTAGCTTGTTTTCTCGTTAGCCTAATCAATTAACAGATGGGTCACATTAGTGAAATACGCGTTATCTGGCCTTCTCACATATGGTTGTTCAGTATAAATACTGGGTCAAACAGAAAGTTCTGCAATTTTTTGATAAATGCAAATGATGCAGCCCAGAAATACAAAAATACTTCATTGAATCACATAAGCATTATTAGCAATCATAATGAATGTTTGATACACACACAAATTAAAAAAAAAAAAAAATCTGAAAGCATTTTGCAACTTAAAAATACTAGTCCTCTGAGTGGTGCAGATTTTTGTATGTCATAAAACTTGTATTTCAAAAACATGATGACAATAAAATTAACAAGTAATGTATATATAATGTATCGATACAATTAATTATATTCTATAATATATTTGATATAAAAGAAAATTTAATAAAACTGTCTACTCATTAAATATTGTTTGAATCTTCATGTAAAGTTCTACAAATATATATATATTCCTTCCAAACAGTGGGCTATTTGTCTTTTTTCAATATTGGCCATTCCTAAAAGCAGAAGTGGTGGCCATTTTATTGTGAAGGCACCTAATAGGCAGCTATCATTACTTCCTATGAAGGGATGGACAGTTATAACCATGCCTTCTCTGGGATTCGAACCCGGGCCCTACGGTATTGTAGTCAGCTCCCTTAACCATTATACCACCAGGGCAGCAGTTCTACAGATATCTATAGTAGATTAAGATGTATATTAAGATTTTTAAGATAAAATAAAGTTTGATCTACTGGGAAAACTAGCAGATAAGAAATACATCACACATAGCTAAGATTATAGAACTATGAACTCACCTTACACCAAATACAAGGGACAATTTTACGATGAGATAGAACAAATAAAGTCATGCAGGCTTTAGTGCAGAAATGTTTATGCAGTCCATCAAGTTTCAATGAAAATTCATCAGCAATGGGTTTGAAAAATTTATAACATGTATCACACATATTTTCCTTTATCTTGAATGAACAACGAAATCCAGCAACACAGTTATCACAGCATAATGAGTAAGATTTATCTTCATGTTTGACCTATAATAAATATGTTAAAACATGATATGATCTTACACATAAACATTAACTTTTATTAGGGAGAAAAATATACAAACATATTCCTGCCAATTAATAATTATAGGGAAAATATAGTTTTATTACAAAAAGTATATTTGAAAAATAATGAAACTGCTAATGCAAATTAAAAATTACAAATGTATGTTTGTAAGACTGTTTTCAGAAATGCTCTGAAAGACACATTTTGCTGTGCAGCTGATATAGAACACCAAACTGAAAGATTGCTACTCACACATGAGAATCAAATCGATGAGATGTCTGAAGCTTACATTCAAGATGTACTTGCTCTGTGCCAAAAAGCTAATGCTTGACTTTCATGTTTGATGACGAGAAAGGAGCCCATCTCATAAAAGGCATTGCCAAGGATTAGCAATGGATCCTGTTGTTTCAGGAGCATGAAACTGTCTTCAAGAAACATCGCCACCATATAGAGACCCTTTGACGAAGACGTATCACTCGACCACTACTCTAGAGGCTACCTAAGAAGGTCTCTGTAGTATTGACTGATGCGGACATCAATGACTTCTTTGCTGCTAGTATCAGGGAGGACTTCAGAAGGTCCTGCTACAAGTTCAGTGTTATAAAGACAATGAACCTCAGTCACCGAATGATATTGCATCTGTTGTCCGGGAGGAAGTTCTGATGGCCCTAGCCCCACTTACAGGTACAGAAAGAAGCAAAACCACTCTTCAACATTCTGTTCCAGTTAGGCCACAGCCAAGATGTGAAACCAGCAAGACAGCTGTTCCACAACGTAGAACAGAATTCTGAAAGACTGATAATGCTCCACGCCCAGGATGTCTGCCGAGGTGCCAAATGCTTGAAAATGCAATAGCTGATAGGACATCCAATCCTCGAGAGGATATGAATACTCCCTCTATACAGCTTCAAAGACGACTATGCACAGTCTTCTTCATCCAGATTAAGAAGCAGTTCACCTTATTCACTGTACTTTCTGAAACTGCTGACAGTTACAATCACCTGTATACCATTCTAGCCACTCCCCATGCCAACCCAATGAAGAAAACTAACTCAAGACTTGTACAGCAGGTGAGGCTGCAGTTAAAGAAAATCCTCAGACATACACCACAGCCAAGTTAAAAAAGAATAATTACCGTGAACAGACAGCAGGTAAAAGCCTTTGTTGATTCGGGCACCGATTATTCCATCATATCTAACGAATTATGCCAACAATTGAATGTTTCTATGTTTACTGAGAATGGACCTATACTGAAAACAGCCTGCAGTAAATCTGTAGGTGCCTCAGGAAGATGTGTACTAAAAGTTGAATGTGATTAAAAGGCTGTTTGAATTTCTTGTGTTTCTGCAATAAAGCCACCCATCAAATGAAACTTGGATGCAACTTTTTCTGTGTGAATGATGCCATTATCGATTGGCGAAATCAAGAACTTGCAGAAACCCTTTCAGACAATGAAGGTTTCAATAAATCAGAATGCTCTTTGTTTGCCACAACCAACAGATCACTCAACTAAACCAAATTTGACGAAAGAAACAGTATGTGCTGCAGATAGATGATGCAGCTATGATTGTTTGCAGTAGAATTCTGATGTGCAAAAGAGAGCAAGTGATGCCAGCTTCAATTGTCACCACTGAGAATGGTTGTGGTAAAGTATGGGTAGCAAATTGCTCTCGACGAACAAACTGATACTGAAAAGGATGAACTTATGCTGTTTACTGCAAAGAAAAAAGTGCTATTTGCTGCCTAAGGAATCTGGCTTGAGAAGGGTCCAAGGGACACAAGTCCAGAAAAAGGTTAACTCGAGAAATATTAAAAGAAATGTTGGATGCTGATCTGACCAATACTGAGTAAGATGAGTTATTGGGTTTACTAAAACAATTTAGTGACATTTTCAACTTTAATAGTATGATTCGAGGAAATCCCGATGCAATGCAGTGAAGCACTAGATCAACACAGATGACAGAATGTCAATCAAGAGCAATGGCCATACTGTGTACCAGCCACTGAGAAATGCGTGATTGAAGTTGAAGTGCAACAAATGTTAACCAAAGATGTCATACAGTTGTCAGCTTGTCCATGGTCATCTCCAATCATGCTTGTGAAGAACAGAAGTGGTGAATGGTACTTTTGCGTCAGTTACATAAGATTGAACAAGGTAACCAAAGAAAACTCATATCCATCACCTCACCAGTCAGACAGTCCAATACACTGATGTTGCATTGGACTGCCTCACTGGTGCTGTTTGCTCTATGACAGATTTAAAGTCTGGCTACTAGAATATAGATGTTGATGATAAAGGCAGATAAATGACAGACTTCATGATGCCAGATGGTCACTCAGAATTCATTATGAAGTCATGCCATTCAGATTATACAATGCACCAACGACATTTGAACGGATGTTGGACACAGTACAGTCAGAAGTCTTTAATACGGACCTCAAAGTTACAAACTTTCTGCGCATGCGCCAACGCATAATGCATTAACGCATGTGCATAATACGTTGACGCATGTACGTTTGATATATAACGGACAGTACAAGCTAAGCTAAAATTATCTTAATTATTTATTTCAGTTAATGTTGCAGATTGCATTGTTCCTTAATCTTCTAATTGAATCCGGCTTATTATTTTTTGCATACTGGTAGAGCAATTTTATAAAAGTAAGCTTAAATTTCGATTATGTCAAAAAGAATTTCCGATTCTGGAGCTACCAAAGGATTTACAAAGCGAAAGAATGTTTCGATGTTCATCAAACAAAAAGTGGAATTGCTGCAAAAAATGGATAAAGGCATATCCTTTGTTTCTCTAACCATTCCGAAATCTGTTTATCAATTTCACGCTGCTCTGCGGGGGGGGGGGACGTCACGGCATGCAATGAACTGGAAGTTGATCTGTCAGCACTATCCTTATCTTCAGGGTAGATGTTTTTATTTTATTCGGCTTATAATTCCTTATAAAATGTAGTATTTCATTTCGATGTACTCTGTCTTTGATATAATTTAAATCAAATTCCTCGTCGTTATAAGTATCACGAATACACATCAAATAGTTTTCTGGTTGCAATTTTCTAATTTCGACTATGCGTAATGTATGCTTTACACATGCACGCGTTGAAAGAAATGTTTAATAAAGTAAACAAATAATTATTAAGCTTTTTTTTCTTGTAAATTTTGATACCTTTTAGATCATAATTGCTCTTTATTTCATAAGTTACAGTTTCATATTTTTAATTTTACAATTTCTGCATGCCATCTTACCAGATTTAAATTGATGATCTATAATCCGGAAAAACCGATAATACGGAATCGCCGAAGTCCTGACGAGTCTGGATTAAAGACTTTTGACTGTATTAACCCTCTGACGCGCGGTGGTCACGCTTTGACACCACTAATTTTCAAATTTTTTTCTCCTCTTCTTTCCAAAATTTTTGAGTGAAAATCATTTTATTTCTAAATAACAAAAAATGACAGCAGAATCATACATGTTTTAGGTCTCAGTATTTCAAATCAGATGTATTTTAAAAATCCGTTTTCAGTGAGACAAAATAACTTCCTTTTATTAATATAAACAACTTTAAATTTCAAAAGTTATTCATCACACACCCTGATTTCTATCATAAATAATTAAAAATAGCAATAATTAAACTGTATCTGCATATATAAAAAAACCCCTCTATATGTATGACATTTGCTTTGCGGTTTCAGGGCGCGCCCACTGCGCCATTAGAGCATTGTGTCACAATGATTAAGAGGCTTGGTGTTCGCGCCTTGAAACCACTGCTCTTCGCAATGGCGTTTGCTTCCTTCTTAAATAAGAAAGTTTATTTTTACCCGGATATAGATAAGGGGTTTTGAAACCACAGAGTTATTTTATTACTAAACAATACATGCACCTGCCCAGTAAAAAGGTCTTTCTTTTCCAGTTCTCTGACCTCAACACACTTGCTCTCCAAGCTAGTACTGCGATTTTATAAATTATTTCCTGTAGTTTAAATTTAATGTAAATATACTTTGCTATAATTAAAAATAGAAATCGCGTAAAGTTTCATTTAAATTTAAAATATTTTCTGAGTATTTTGGAATGAAATACGAATAAAATAAGTATGAATGGGAAACGAATGATCTGTACCAAAGCCAAAATAACCAAGCCCTCCCATTAACATAAAAAGCCACAAATTGCATGTGCCAGATGAAAAGAAACTAAATACCACTGGACATATACCAGCAAAATTTTGATCCAGGCAGTGTACAATTTGTAGCACAAGGAAGAAAGTTCATAGAAGAAGATACATGTGCGAAACATGCAATGTGGGTCTATGCATATACCAAAAAGACAAAACATACTTTGATCAGTGTCACAAAAAAAAATTGTTCTTTGAAATAATAATAATAATAATAATAATAACAATAAAAATAATTAAAATAAAATAAAAAAAACCACGAGTCTTTCTTTCTTAATCCTCATTCTGCTGTTTTTTTATCTGTTTAGCCGAACGTTCTTATTATGCAGGTACTTATATTTTCACTGCTGTCGCAGTGAAAAGCACCATTCACAATTGTTTTTCATTGTCTTCTGACGATTTACTTTGTAAAATAATGTAAAAAAAAATTATATATAATGCAATTCTTGTATAATTTGTTTTTTTAAATTCGTAAATTTCGTCATTTATTGGAAACGCGCACGGAAAAAGGTAAGTTTTTTTTTTCCTACTACCTCAGTAAAGTTTCAAAGTCCTAGACGCACAGTGGTTTTACAGTGCGACCACCACCCACAAAACAATGGGCAAGAGTAGATTTTTTAAAATTCATATATTATTTGTCTCTAGGATCATAATATTCAATTTCTAGAGTTTTTAGTTTAAAAAATTATTAAAATAATACTGCGCGCATCAAAGGGTTCAGAGGACTCAAGTGAAATATTTGTCTTTGCTATCTAGACGACATAACTGCATGTTCCTAATTTCCAAGAACACTAAAAAGACCTGAGGGAAGTTCTGAAATGTATCCAAAGAGTGCAACTGAAGCTGAATTCTAAATGTTTATTCAGCAAAAAGAAGTTGATGATACTGGGAAGTTTAGTTGATCCACATGGGATGTATCCAATCCACAGAAGACAGAGGCTGTAACAAAGCTCCCTCTTCAGGAAATATCTCCAATACACAACGTTTTGAGCATGTGCTCCTACTACCCACGTTTTATCAGAAGTTGTGTGGTTATTCCAAAAAACCTGTATGACTTGCTAAGGAAGGATGTAAGATTTTCTTGGAACATATCACAGGAGGAATCTTTCAGAACACTAAAAAAGTTTCTGACCAGTGGCCATGTTTTGAGATATTTTATTCCAAATGCAGAAATGAGGATACATTTGGATACTAGTGGCTACGGCATTGGTGCAATACCGTTTCAGATCCATGGATGCGAAGAAAGACCAATAGCCTATGCATCCAGGTTCCTTACTACAGCTGAAAAGAACTAGTCTACAATCTAAATGAATGCAGTATTATCATCTGGGCAATCAGTAAATTCAGGCCATATCTCTATTGTAAATCCTACATGGGTGTCACGGATTACTACTATTTTTGCTGACTGGCCAATTTTAAGGATCTATCTGGAAGACTGCAGGAGTACGACATCAATACTGTTCACAAGAGCAGTCGTGAACATTCTGATCAGATCCACTATCGAGGAAGCCTCTTGTCGAACCAATAATTGAGAGCAATGACAACACCCCTTTCCTCATGGCCATCAAAGATTACAGAAAAGGATAAAGAATTGAAATCCATATCAGAACTCGTGAAAGGTGACACATACTGAAATTATCAAATAAGAAATGGTATACTGCATAAAAAAACTACGATCCAATGGGAACGAAGACAACAGTGATGTTCTAAGATGTCTTTATGATGTTCCAACTGCTGGTCATCTCAGATTTATCTAAAAATATGACTGAATAAGAAGGAAGTACTTTTGGCCAGGGCTGAATAGGAGCACATGAAATTTTAAATTACACTGTTGAGAATGCCAAAGATGGAAATCACCACCACCATTTCCAAAAAGACAGCTTCATCCGATAAAATCCTCTGACAAATCTCTGTTTGCTGAAATTCGAATAGAATCCACTTGAATGCTTCCTTGTTATTTGAAATGGAAACCGGTAGATTATTGTTTGCACAGATTACCTTATTAGATTTACAGTCACAAAGGAAGTACCAACTTCTGAGGTCACCGAAAGTGACAAATTTATAGTTGAAGAAATTGTACTGAAGCACGGGGCCACAAAGAAATGATAAATGATTGAGGATGTTATTTCTTAGCCAATATTCTTAAAGACATCAATCAATCATGGCAGACATATCATCTTCTGACTACTGCCTATCCATCCACAGATTAATGGTTTAACAGAAAGATTCAACAAGACACAGGTAGACATGTTATTCATGTACGTAGACATTAAGCAGAGAAATTGGGATATCATCTTATCATTTGTGACTTTTGCCTATAATTCAGCAAAACAAGACACAATGGGATTCAGTTCAGCCTATTCATTCATGATAGAGATATCCAGACTCCTCTCAATGTAATTTTTCCATCCAAAGCCAAAGATCCTGATGAAAGTTGTGTGCAACATGTGATCACCAGGGCTGATAAAGCTAGATAGCTTGCAAAACTCCCAGTCCTGAAAGTCCAAACCACAGAAAAGTGCCGATATGACAAGAGGCTTGATCTGTCAGTTGCAACATTGGCAGCTTAGTCAGGGCTTCCATTCCAGTACAAAAGTTTGGATTATATGAAAAACTCCTAAGATGTTACTATCAAATAACATGAAAACTATGTGACATAAGGCACGAAGTAGAAAATATGGAACAAACAAAATAAGCAGTGATGGAGTTTAAAAGACATTGTTCATGTATTGAGATTGAAACCCTGCCTAGATAACAAAGGACAGCTAGGTGATCTATGAATGCCCAATATCTCCAGAAAACCTAAAATAAGAAGTTAAACCAGAAAGCAATAGGATGCTGCTTCTTCCTGAGAAGAGGGTAATGTAATGAAAACTGTTGTTTTTGACCAAGCTTCATGATAGCTTAGTGGGTAAAACGTCGGATTTGGAAATCAAAGTCCAAATTTTTAAATCCATCAAAGGCAGTCTGCCCCAAAATTGATTTAATTTAATTTCCTTTCCGTTAATATATTTTCCACTTATTGCAGAATGTTCTTCAATTTCTTATTTGAAGTATTCCAGACAGTTCATCACTTATTCAAGTTACTTATGCAGTTTGAATAAATAAAGCCTTACATACTTTTCCTCTTCATTTGCTTTAATAGGATCTACATGACTATATATTTATTCACATAACAGAAAATAAAACTGCATGGTGAAGAGTAACTTACCAGTTATTCACCAAAAAGTATGAAATTCTATAAATACAAACATATTAATTTAAAGTTAACAATGTGAACATTTCTCATCAATAATAGTAATAGTAAAATCAGCATTAACTCTTTACATTTTGATCCCTGATTTTTTTCCCCACAAATCGTTAAGTAAATACATTACTTACTTGAACATTCACTTACCTGAATTTTGAAACTCCCTTGTTTTTTACAATGAAAGCACTCTTGGGATTGAGGAGCAGTTTTGGAAATGTTATTCATTATTTCATAACGTTCCATACATCGTTGTGAACAAAAGTCTTTAAACTGCCCTTTATCTCCCACTGGAGCAAGGAAACCATCAATACCAGCTGATAAATCAGTTTGACAGAAGCTGCACACCTTTTCAACATTTTCAAAAGAATAATTTTAGAGAAAAGTTTAAAAAAAATAAAATACAAGCAAACAAGATTCATCTCTATCAAAAGAATTACTTTAAAGAAAATATTATGCAGTACAAAGTCTCAGGTTCAGAATAGTCAAGACTTTGTGGTTCTGGAATTTGCCGGATTTTAGATTGTCAGCTTTAAATCCAGCAAGATGATAATTAGAAATTATAAAATTAAACATATTCTTTAAAAAAAGCATTTTTGTATAAAGAAGTTCTTTTTCTTAATCAGGACCATGTAAAATTAAATGTAACTTGAAGTCAAAATGACGATATTTTCTGAATTTACAACCATACTGCAAATATTTGCCATTCTGTTAACTTATTGATGACTTAGGCATTGTCATCGCAACATAAGCATAACATTGCGGGTTGGATTAACCATTAAGCATTAAAAAACATATTTAGGGCATCAAGGAAAGAAGGCACCACAAAATGATCCTGTTTAGGATCTCTTCAGGTCTTAAACCAGCCTTGTCTAATTTATATTATTTTCATTTAGCATTTCTTCTAATATTGCATTAATCACAAAATTTCATTTTTAAATTGATATATATATATATATATATATATAAAACAAATCAGATTTGGTCTTTCATCGTCAACACGAAATTTGGCAGCTGGCTATATATTATGGTCAGCTACCAAATTCGAAAATATACGCAGACACTCATGAGATCTTCCAGTGCCCAAAACATCAGATTTTATATAAAAATATTTCTAGAATTTTTATATGATCTTAATACTGCACCAGTTTTTGAAAAGCTGTATTTTATATCTACATCTCAGTATACACACAATTCTGATATCCATTGGTTGGTTGATAGAAGTACAGTTTCTGATATCCATTGGTTAGTTGATAGAAGTACAGTTTCAGAGAAAGAGTAACTCAGAGACATTATCATTTAACTAAAGCTGTAATTTTGATGAGATTAATAATAAGATATTTTAAAAAAGAAAGTTAAGGATGAGCGAATTTGCTTAAATTAAAATAAGTTACATTGGAATGTAATTCTTTCTCTTTTCCTCACTGTTATGCCAAAAAAAGAAACAGTATGGACAATAACCCAACCAAAATACTAAGTATGTTTTGAGGATTCACTTATTGTTTTGGTCAGATAGAAAAATGCTACTCCCACAACTACTCAAGAGATGAAAGCACTAATTCAGAAGTCAAACAACAAATTGTGTCTTAATTAAGATGAAAGCACGTTCTTCATGTCTAAGATAAATGCAGCATCGATCAATTTATTGCAATTGGTCACAGTGTGATTTGTTAGCTAGTAAATGTTCGAAACTGATATCTAGGAATTTCAAGTAGTTAAGAGAAAAATCACTTTAATGGCACACTTCCCTTTTCTTGAGGATTACTTCTCCATTCCTAAGACTTGTAGTCACACACACAAAAAAAAAAAAAAAAAAAAAAAAAATTCTTTTGCTGAAAATCCAGATATTGGACATCTATATTTCAGATTTTGTACTGTATTTACCATATTTGACGGCATATAAGATACACTTTTTTCTTTAAAAATGGGTTCTGAAAAATGGGGTGTGTCTTATACCTCAATACTGCGTATTATACGTCGAAGCTTCATGCATACTTGCCAACCTGTGACACTCAAAAATCAGGAGATTTTTTTAAAGAAATGAGGAGATTTTTCACAATGTTAAAAAAACTTTTTAAATGATAAAATATAGTTTTTAATAGTGAATTAACATTAAATAGTAACTAATTCTTAAATGCAAGCAAAACAAAAATACCTTACACATAAAAAACATTTTTATTACTTGCATCGTTTAAGGGAGGGGAAAAAAAAACTTTAATCAGTTTTCGTTCAAATGTTATAAACAGTGGCAGATTTTGCTTTCTTTAAGAAAGAAACTTCATAATTTTGTTCACAGCAATTGCCACGTAGGCCTGCTTTCGCTAATAAAAGTTTTTCTAATGTTTCATCACTAATATTAGATCTAAATTTAGTCCTCGTTTTCGCAACAACACTGCGAATCTTCTCACACTCTGTATTACTATGGGGAACTGTCAAGATGGTTAACACAATTCTAGACAGTTCACTATATTTTAAAATTCCATCAGCACCTTTCAGTTTTCCAATTAAACTCCACTGGGTGTCAATCCTAGCTGATTTTATAACTTCATCCAAGTTTTCTAATTGTAAACTGCTGTTATGCAGCTGTTGGAACTGCTTCAATTTTTCTTTCCTTTTAGAACTCCTTTCAAGATAATAATAAATGTCAACAATGTGTTCATCCAACATTTATTGGTAAAGAAGAGCTGCCCCTTTTTCAGCTGCTAAATTTAAAAGGTGACAGGTGCACCTCATAATCTGCAAATCTGAATTTTCCTTTCTTAAGATGCCTGCAATACCAGTCTTCCAAGCCTACCAATACTGGTGCATTATCAGCACCAAGTGCTAAGCAATTATCCAGAGGGCCTGCATTTTCTTTTAAAGTTTTAATAATTAGCTATGTTATATTAAAGCCTGTCAAATGTCCTTCTAAAGTGGGAACAGAAGTAAACTGCACTCAATTTCTGAAGACTCTGGATTAAAAAAGGAAACAACAATTGGATACAGTTTTGAATCGGTATTATTGCTTCCATCCGTAGAGAGGCAGAACAGAGCTGTTTTAATGCAATCAATAACTGAAGATTTATTTTTCAAACTCATTTCTTTAACAATTGCACCTGTTTGATTCTTGCACTTGAGTATTTCTTAGCGATTTCACTATCAGGAAACATTTTTCTAAATAAAGCTTCAGCGTGATCCGATGCATTCAGTGGCAGGTTGTGCTCCATAAAAAGGCAGAGAACAGACATTCTGCATTAATAACTTTTTAGTCTTTTGTTTCCGAAGAAAAATTTAATTTTTCGTTTTTTTAAAAACAACTCATGTTACCCTTGTGTTTTTGTGTACGCACATGTTTGAGAACATCCGCCCTTCCACCAAGCGAAATCGAAAAATCGCAACGACAGGCGGTACACATCGCAAATTTATTACATTTCCTTGAGGAAATAATGGAAGGAAAGTCAACTGTGTACGATTTTTGAAATGTACACGAGTATTTCACCTTTCTCGCAGATGTAACAAAAGATGATAATTTCTAAAACTATTTCCCTAAGGCACGTGTACTCACACAACTCAGGAAAAAATGAACGAAATAACTAAAGAACATCCAAATAACAACTTGCTTTATTCTCATTGGCTAATATATGCCAGCTGAAACACAGTGGAGCTTGATGCCCATTGGAGAACTGGATAACAACTTTTTCTGGATACTTATAATGCTCTCACTCACAAAGCAGAAGTTATCTGATTCGCAAGGTTTCGTTTTAGATATAATGTAGAGAAAATTCAATTGCTTTCAAACATCCAAAAGCACTTTTTTTAATTCATATAACAAAGTATTAAGCCAAGTTGCATAAAAATCGTGAGAAATTTTAAGAGTAAGAAAATGTTGGAAGAAATATATTGTAAATCGGGTTGGCGGGAATAGTGGATATGCTAGAAAATAGTGGTTTAACATTTACACCTGAAGATCAATTGAAATGATTTTCATGCATGTTAAGCATCAAAATGAATATGTTTGACAAAAGTACACATTATATCTTACACATTATCTTAACCCACATAAAATGAAAATGTCATTTATTTTTCATTATCAAATTACAAAAAGAAAATATTTTGTCAGCAGTTTTAAGGAATGCTGAATAACTTTCTAATAAGCAATGAAGAACACTCATTGTTAAAGTAACATAGTTAATAAGCTACAATTTCATTACTTCCGGCTATTACTAAGGATTTCATTTTATGGTATAAAGCTGCATAAATCAGATCAGCCAAATTAACATAAGTCTTCTATGTCATTCATGAGCTAATGCAGCTCTATAAAAGTGGCTCAAATTGAAAGAATTTTTTTTAAACTACCATTATAACATGAAACCAAATTTGTATCAACTACATGCATTTTTCAATAATAAAAAAAAATTACAGTACTGTAATGTAAACAATACCAAACTGTGCGCCATTTCTGCCATGTGAAACATATTGGCAAGTATGTGCTACAGAAAAGACAGCTGTATTAGCAATATGTTGTACTGATGATGTACACTGTGAAAAAAATTAATAATAATGATGATGATGTCCAAAGGTGCTTTTTTTTTTTTTTAATACATTTTGTGTATTACCTTTATTTATTAAATATCATGTTCTTTACACTTAAACCATAAAATTCAAGAGCAATTAAAAAAAAAAAAGACAGTTCTATATCTTTTGTTCTACTGGGCCAATTGATGAACTTCAACTTGCATGTTTTATGTCTTGAAAGCGTGACTTAGGATATGTATTAGATTTATACATAGCATTGCTTTAATATAGGTATTTTATCATAAAATTGGACTTTTTCTGAAATTAGATGCCAATTTTATTCCATACTTCAATTTTATGACTCAAATTATGCCACGTTTTGTAAAAATCGCACAGGTAGTTTTTAAAAAATTGGCTCTCAAGATTTTACCTCCTCTATGTTAATTGAATTTTTGTATATATTCATTAATATCTGTTTTTATTAAATTTATTTGATTCTTCCTTTCACATTTCAAAATTTAGATTAATTTGAAATAAAATTCGCCCATTTTTTATGATTTATTTTTAAAATTTGTATTTTTAAATATTTTTAATAAATTTTTCGAAAAAAATTTGAATTATAACCTATAAAATTTTTACCATCATCTTAAAAGCTGATGTATTTCTAAGCATACTTGCAAAAAATTAGCTTTTTACTCAAAATTTCCTACGATATATGTGAATTTACATATTGGCACTTTTTGAAATTTGGCATATTTGTTATAAGCAATAATAACGCCAAATGTGGTTTACGCATTTTGTTAAAATTATTTGAAAGCAAAAACGAGGACTTTTTTCCTGCTCATCTATAATGAAAAAGAGGAAAGGAAAATAGGTTGCTATAAATTAAGAAGTTTGCCAAGTGAATTATGCTAGGCATAAACTGAAAAAAATGGGCAAGACAAATTTTTAAATTTCTACAAAAATTTCACACCAAATTTTACAAAATTTAATATTTAGGTATAATTTGAGTCACAGAATCAAAATATGGAAAAAAATTGGCACGTTACTTCAGAAAAAGTCCAATTTTGTGTCAAAATACCTGTGTTAGAACACTGCTATATATAAATCTAATATATATCCTAATTTGCACTTCTGAGACATGGAAAACGCAATTTGAATTTCGTCAATCGGCCCAGTAGAAGGGGAGATATCGAGCTGTTTCCTCTTTTTTTTTTTTTTTTTTTTTTTTTTTTTTTTTTTTGCTGTGTACCTCAAATATGAATAAATGAAACTATAAATATATAGTCAACTTGCATCAGGAGGGGGGAGGCATATCTGATGTTTCAATTGCATTTAAGGAATTAATTAAATGATTTAGCAATACTTCTGCCTATTGATTCTCTTAGTACAAGGTTTCTTAAACTGTGGTTCGCGGGACCTGCAGCAGGGGGGGTCGCCAAAAATTTTACCAGTTTGATATTTCTTTAACTTGTTATAATAATTTTACAATTACCAAATACTTTTACACAACATATCTGAAAATAGATAAAGATAAGACAATACAGTCAAAGAAAAAAACTTAAATGTTTTGACACATTTCTTTTTATAATATAAGCTTTCATTTTCCTTGCTTTGCAAGTAATGCTGTCATTTCGTCTGTTACTTATTTAACATTTTCACATTGTTCTATGTCTTAAAATTAGAAATTAAAGTTAATGACCTAAAACTGTAGTATATTACAGTACAAGTGCTAAAATTGACAGTTTCACTTACGCGTGTGTCGTATTTGAGCAATACTTATGGGGGTCCCACAAAATTTTTGTAAATATTATGTGGTTCTGGGGGGACCCGAAAAAATCTCAGTGATAAAAGGGGGTCGCGACTGAAAAAAGTTTAAGAAACCCTGTGTATGATTTTTTTTTTTTTTTTATGAAAAAATTCTGCTAAGTTGACAGTTAATTTGGAATAATTTTTTTACATCAAACTATAGTTTCTCTACACAGTGTTCTTTTTTGGGCAAGAAACTTGCTAAGTTGGCAATTTATTTTAAATAATTTTAGTAGATTAAAGTGCAGTTTCATCATATGGTGTTTTCTTCACATCTCACTTCTAAAAAGTTAAGAAAAATCATTAATTCTTTTTTTACTCTTCAACTGAATTAAAAGCTTTTCACATCATTAAAAAGAATGATATATTTTTTCTTTTTTCTTCACAATTTTTTTTTTAAACTCATATTAAAAACAATTATAATAAGAGTCGGGGAGGGGGTTAAAGAAAACCTGAAGAAAGTGAAGAAAATAATAATAAATTTTTGTCTGAAAAGAGTTTTTAAAAAGTTTAAAATTTGTGAGTTGTAGGACTTTCCAGAATACAGAATAAAAAGAGCAAGAAAAATTAATGCTAAAATTAAAGCTCAGCATGAAATGGCTTTTAATTTACGGCTTTTAACTTGCATACTTCAATAAAAACTTCACTGAAAAGACAAATTCTAATGAAAATTTTAAGATACGATTTTGAAATGGAGCTTTAAATGGCACAAGTAGACAAATAGTACACAAGCAGCTTTCAGAGCAAAGTAATTGCGAAATTGATTTCTCCCTTTCTTAGACTAATTCTGTAATAATTTCATAGTTAATTCAAGCATTAATAAGATACACATTTCTGCATAGAGAAACCACTATTATTTGAGAAATCAATACCTAGTCTAATTTTCTTGCCTGCCTTGTGAAATCTTCTCTCCAACATATTGTGGAAGAGTCACATTTTTTGGTCAGTAATCCTAATCGAGATGACAAAAGGTTGCCCATACAGTTACCGTGCCCCCTTTGGATATTTTTTATTTTTGTTTACAAATATTGAAATTAAGTAATAATAATTAATAGCAATCAGTAGGCCAGACAAACTTTTCATGGACTGAAATGTGGCCAATAAGCCACATGTTGAATACCTCTAGCATTCAACATTTACATAAAAAATGTAGCATGTATATCTGATATGAATTACTTTCAGTAAAAAGTTATAACTTAAAATTTTCATTTAGCTGCCTGCAGCTAACTGCAACACGTGTTTTATTTACAGATCCACTAAAAGGTATATTATCAAACGCATAGAGTATTTTTATACAGTAATAACTAAAATATTGCAATGAAGTTATTCTATACATATAAGGAAACTGGAATCTTATATTTAATTTTTTGGGGTTTGATCAACTGCATTGGAAATTTCCTTAAGAATAATTATTTAATGTGAGTAGGAACAGACACCGTAAAACTATACTTTGGTGGATAACAATTCACAAACATAGTCTGTCTGCAAAACATTTCAATAAAAATCACTGCATTCATTTTTTTTTAGATAAATTTTCAAAAAAGATTAATTTTTCAATAAGATAAAAAAACTCTGTATTAAAGAAAAATTTTGAATCCTAAACTTATGCTGTATAACAAAGCAAAAACACATGTATCAATTGTACAATTTTCATCAATATCATACATTTCATAACTTTTCAGTTGATTTCAGGCACACATGCTGTATTAATAATAACTTACCTTTAAGCCTTTCTTAAAATCTTCTAAGCAACTGCCAGAACAAAACTGCCGAATATCAGCCCCAAAGCACACACAGTATTTTCCAAGCGATGACTGCTGAACTGGAGATTGACAACAAGTACAATGACTGCCCAGATATGACTGGTACTTTCCTAAACAGTTTTCATTACAAAAGTCCATTGTTTCCCAAGTTAGAAGATTCTGAAGATCTTCGATATCTTTTTTACACTGAGAGCACTTCCTAGGTGGTTCATTTCCCTATAATTAGTGAATAATTAATAATTATAATTGTTATTATAAAATTGCTAATTAATTTTAAAAAAATGTAAATACATACCACAGAAGGAAAATACAGAAATTTAAACAAACGATGTAGTTACTTTTATTATTTGGAATTTTTCTCATTCTTAATAATTTCATAACTGTCACATTTTTAACAGAACTTTATGCTTTAATATTTAGCTATGAAATATTTTTTATTTGCATACTCACAAAACCCATTTCCATTTCAATCCAATTAAATTAATTTTTATTTCTGTAGATCTTAACTAAGCACACAATATGTTATAAGTTCATACAAATTAGACTTAAAAGATCCATTAATGAAAAAAATTTTTTAAAAAAATTTCAGAAAACAAGACTCGAATAAATTCAAATAGTTATCTATAGCACAAACTTCAGTTTTGTAATACCACGCTCCATAAAACAGAAGTATGTTAAATTCCTTATTAAATATGGTTAATATTTAACATACCTGTAAATAAATTTCAGAATTGAAAAAATCTGAAGTGAACATCACATGAATTTCTTGTATGGCCTATTAAATTATATACATTTTTTGTTGCTTTTCACTTAAACTTATTTCCTCAAATTAAATTAGAGATATATTTATCATTCAGTTAATTCAGTTCTCACTTTGTTGAAAAGCAAAAATACATGAAAACTCAAAATACCTTCATTAAAAATTGAAAAATATGGACAAACATAAAACACCAAAAACAGTTAAAATGATTAAAAAATTTTACAATTACAATTAGAGTTTCTATGCAAAAACAAACAATTCAAGTGGGCAAGAAGGCTGATTTTTTAATGAACAAAGCTGAAAGTTTACTTTTATTCTTTGGCAAAAAGACACTGAAGGTGCAGAAACTGAACTCACTATTCTGTTAAGTTTCAAATGTACACAAATATGGCTGCTATGGTAAACAAAAATTAGGCTTAGCCACACTTAAACAGTTTTTAAATTGTTGATAATTCTACAACTATTGCATGCAGATTAACTAAAGGTATAAAAACCTTAACCGGAACAAAACAATTCAATCATTTCTAAAGCAAAGTTACCAACCAAAGAAGCCAATTTACCAAAGCAAAGCAACTAATTTACCAACATATAACTATAAAAAACTGAGTTCACTGAGCCAAGTAACAGACTACTACTAAACGTGCTTTGTATCTAATCACTTGATTCTTTTCATTTCTTTTTAGCATATAGATCCATTTGTTTCCTATCATAGTTTTATTTTCTGGCTTTTCGACTAATTCCCAACCTTTCTTTTCTTCATTGTGTCAATTTCTTCTTTCATTGCTTTATCCCATTCTTCGGCATTTACTGATTTTCGTGCTTCTTTAAAATTTTGTGGGATAACAATTTCTACAGAATTTGCCTCTTCAGACACGGAGCTAGTCTCCTGTTCTACAAAATTAACTTTCCCCGAGAATTCGTTTTTTTTTTCACTAAAATCAAACTTATCTTTTTCAAATTTAATATTTCTTGCCTCACAATACTTTTCAATATCATTATACGATCTAAAACCGGTGTCCGTTCCCTCTACATAATAATATATGTCTGTACGTGTTCCGCCTGGCCTTTTAACTGCTTTTTTTTGCCAGTTTAAGTCTGATACTTCTTTCGGAGTAGATTTGTCATCTGACAACTTTATTTCTTCTCTAGAAGTTTCTTGTTCTTCATCTAATTCTGCTAATAGCTCAGATTGCTCTAGTCTTTTAAACTTAGTTTTTGATTTCTGTTCCAGGATGCCATTTGCTGCATTCAGTTTTTCATCGAACTTCACATTACAGGTTTCTATTAATCTGCGTTCTTCTGGTAGCCATATCCTATAACCCCTAGTTTCCTTCGCATATCCTTCCATGATTCCTTCTTTGCATCTCATTTGTAATTTATTTCTAATCTGTTTTGGTATGCCAACATAGGCTTTACAACCAAATATTTTAAAATAAACAACACTGGGTTTCTATTTAGGAACATTTCATAAGGGGTTTGGTTGCTTTTATGACATAGTCTGTTCCACGTATGTACGAAACAGCCAAGAGCTTCTGCCCACCATTCTTTTACCATCATTAAGCATAGCTTTAACTGCGTCTAATGCCATTTGGTTAAAACGTTCACACACACCGTTCTCTTCTGGGGTGTACGTGTTTGTGCGTTCAACACTAATTCCATCTTCGGCTAGGTACCCTTCAAATTGCCTGTTACAGAATTCCCCACCGTTATCGGTGCGTATAATTATTAATTTTCTATTTATCAGTCTTTCCATTTGCCCATGATAATTCTTAAAGTTGTAGAACGATTCATTTTTATTTTTCATACAATACACTGTTACTAATCTACTATAGTCATCCACAATAGCAAGGAAATATTTACTCCCACCCTTAGATGGAACTGGTAGTGGGCTACAAACATCTAAATAAATCAACTGCCATGGTTTATCCAATCTCTTCGAAACAGTTTTAAAAGTTATTCTACTAGATTTAGCAATAATACACGGTTCACACCTTTCCATTGGTTTTCCAATTTCTGGTAACCCTTTCACGCTTTGATTCTTACTAGCATTCTTAATACAATCAAAATTTACGTGGCTAAATCTCCGATGCCATAGCATCACATCGTCTACTTTATTTAACTTTCCAATTTCTGTAGCGTAACCACCTTCCTTTTTATTTGTAGCATATCTAAATGGTTTTACGTGATAAAGTCCGTCATATCATTTAGCATAGAGCATAATCTATCCCAATTATGAAAGTATATCTACATCTTCCCTTTTGAAATCACAAAATGAGCACCAGCCATTTATAACCTTGCTCCCAATAGTAAATTTCTTCTTAGATTTGGATTACATAACACATCATCTAAATCCAATTTATTCGATTGCCTACTCTTACTGCAAATTTGGCAGTACCCTTTCCTAGTACTTTACTTTCACAATTTCCTACAGCTAAAGACATACATATATCGTTTTTTTCTTCAAAATTTGTCATTAAATTTCTATTATTACAGAAATGAGTTGTAGCTGCTGTATCTACAACTCAATTAAATTTATCTGCGTTACCTCCTTTATCTGGAGTTGTTACATAATTTTCTACTAACATTAATTCTTTACCTTTAAACTGTCCATTTTTATCGTCTATTTTAAACTTCTGATTTTTACTTACATTTTTCTTTACATTGAGCGATTAAGTGTCCAAATTTATGACATCTGAAACAAGGTCCTATTCTCATATTCCCCATTTTTTTCTTAGATTTAGTTTTATTTTCAACTGTATCTTTCCCTGCATTGAACTAAACACACTTACCTTGCTGTCTTCTAAATCGGCATTTACCTGGCGAAGTCGGCTTTTTTCCCTTACCAGTTCTTCAGCAATTCTTTCCAGCGTAAAATCTTCGTCCTTCCACATATAGATCAACTGTACAATGCCGGAGTATTCCTGGGGTAATCTCCTTATTGCCTGAAATCCTTTAAAAAGATCTGTCAAGTTGTGACCAGCTTCAGCCAACTTCTTTGCAGTCATTCTTAACCTCGCGATGAATAATCCTATTTCTTCATTTGGCGTATATCTAATACTAAAAAATTCGTCCAGTAACTGAATTATCCCTGCTCTTGTTTTGGGTTCGAACTGCTTCTGTAGAACTTCCCATCCTTCTTTACCACTTGAACATTTTTGTATCAGCGGCCTGAACTCAGTTTTAATTCCATAATATAATGTAGTGAAGGCTCTATTCTCTCTCTGTGTGAATTCCTGCTTTTCACGCCTTGTTGCACTTTTATACAATTCTTCTTCTTTGTCCTCTATGAAGCTGCAACAATTTCTATCCAGTAACAGCATTTTCATATCGACTTTCCATCGATCCCAGCTGTCATGGTTTAACAGCTCAAAACCTTCAGGTAGTAATGACATCTTCAATTAAGTGTGAGCACAACAACTTGAACAAACTTCTAAGACAGGTTAGCTTCTTTTCGTGGATAACGGCCCTCTTCACCTACATTCCTTCAATGCTGAGTTGAACTGGATGACCGATTAGCTGTTGGCGGTGGGCACATAATCCTGTTGGCAGTAGGCACATAATCCTGTTGGCAGTGGCGATAAAGGCAAAGCATACTTTGCTTCCCTTCAATAAAGCTAAGACTAATCTAAATAAAATTCATGCTTTATTCTGTAAATTAAAAGAAGCTAACATTGTAGCCTTTACATTTAAAAATCATTGAGTGAAAGAAAACTAACATTATGCTAACTCATAAAAAAAGAACAAGACATTCGCTGTTAAATATTTGCATAATCATCTGTAGTAACAGCAACCGCCGTCAATAAAAGGTGGCACTTTTCTTGGTAGCAGAGCAGTTGATTTTCAGTTCGAAGCAGAGCAGACCTGCCCAGAGGAGGGATGATGGTTTTCAGTCCAGTCCAGCCGTTTTGGAGTCCAATTCAACTTAAATAGTGATTTATGCCAGAGGGACCCGATGTATTTTTGTCCTTATAAGATGTGTTCTTTTCCTCAGTCGCCAAATAGCTGACAGTTCAAAGCATTCCTAGAAATTTGAATGTGCGGGTATTTTTCCACTTCAGATGTTAAGTTTGTTCATGATGTTAAGTTATCATAATTTTGGAAATTTTAGTTGAATAAACCTTTAAGTTTGGACAAGGTTTGTGTTCTTCAGAAAATTAAGATTCAAAGTCAGATATATAAAATAACATTAACATAGGTTTTAACATGAAGAAACAACATTTGGCCTCTGCGGCAGGACATTGTCTGCAAGGTAAGCAACTTTTTTATTTTGAATCATGGAAGCCTTAAAGGTAGCATGCACTCAGTACAGAAGATTATTTACTAAAGTGTGTAATGAATTTGATAATGAAGAAACTAAATTTAATCAAGAAGAAAAAATAACTAAAATAAAAGTTATTGCTGAAAAAGCTGAAGTTTTGTTTGATACTGACATGAAAATATGAGAATTAATGTTTAA